CATACTATGTATATATATATATATATATATATATATACACGTATGCGGACGGAGAGAGAGGAGCATTTTCCACCAGCATCCTGTGTGGAAGGTTAAATGTATAAATGTACAGAAGACTCTGCTTCCACTTCAGAGGCTTCGCTTACAAGATATTTTGTATTCAGCAAAATGGAGTTGTTGTGCCTCTTTTTTTTTTTGTTTTCTCATTGATTTTCTGCTTTCCGCCCACCTCACTGCTTCTCCGTGTGGCGGTAGAGACGCAGCTTTCAGGACGTCTCACACACACACACACACACACCACACTTCTGCTGCGTCTGCCTCCCTGTGACTGGTTTTCCCCCGACTCTACTCCCTTTTGCTCTTTGCTGGTGCTGTGGAAGCCGGAAGTCACACTGTTGCTGCTGTCGCATACCGGGCGCAAAAACGAGGGCAGGAAGCAACACACGTACACACGGGCACAAAAGGAATAAGATTTTTTTTTTTAAAAAAGGAAGTCCTGTTCATTCCTGTCCCGTTCCCACTCTACTTTATACACACACACACACTCACAGGGAGCGAAGCCGCCGAGAGGTCTTCGAGCGTCGGTGTGTGTGTGTGTGCCTTGTGTCGGCAAGGCTCCTCGCGCCACACTGTATAGAAGCAGAAAAACAGGGATAAGGAGTAAAATACATCGTAATTGAGTGAATTCTTATTTTTATTTTGTTCTTCTTGGGTCCCTCGCCCTTTTAATTGCCGTCCAATGGAGAGCCACAAAGATGTGATTCTCAGCCAGGCCCCGGCGATGTACGAGAGAACCGGAAAGGGTGCCGGCGTATTGGAGAACTACAAGGGGATCCTGCTCTGCGCCCGCCCGGCAAATCTTCCGCATGGCCCCTCCATGCAGCTGCGCGGGGAGACCGTGGTTGGTGGGACTTTGTCGACAGTTGGCGGTGAGGCGGCTCCCGCGTTTGTGCCGAGCGGTGCGACAGAAACTCAGGCGGGTTTGGGGCCCTCCGTTGAGGATCGCGCGATCATGGAGCGCAACCGCCGCAGGCGGCTAGAAAACTACAAGCAGCAGCGTGTCACTGCGCGCTCGGTGCTGACGCGCCACCGCCGCTGGCTTCGCAGCTTTGCAGAAGAAGTGCGAAGAATGAAAAAAGACGAGATACAGCACGAGGTTGAGCTTGCCAGGCGCGCGGGGCAGTTTTCTCAGCAGCAGGCTCAAAAGCGTGTGGAGGTGGCCGCTGGTGGCTTCCACCAGACCGCCGATGCAACGCCAACGATCAGGGAGCCGAAGCCGCAGGAGGAACGGGTCTCCACCGATGCCGAGCAGGCCGCCATTGGGAAGAAGAAAAAGGCGGCGGCAAAGAAGAAGCAGAAGCCCAAGTGGGCTCTCACAGAAGATGAGGCGTTAGAAGATGAATTGGCGGACGCCGACGAGCTGCTGGAATTTGCTAAGAACCTTGACTACGAAAAGTTCATCAGCGACTATGAGGTGGCTGGGGCGCTGGCAATCATGCGGGAGCGCGTGGAGGAAATTGCGCGGGAGAACAATTGGAGCAAGGAGACGGTTGAGCGGGCAGCGAGTGAGTCTGTGGACGAAGAGTTTGGCGAGGATGAGGCGGAGGCGGGTAGGGACGACACCACGTCGAGGACGGGTGCACCACGCGGGGAGTTGCATGCACCAAAACAGGGAATCAACGCTGCCATGGCGCGAAAGGCCGCCCCACGCCACGCCGTGAAGCACACTGAGGGCTGGGACAAGTCAACCAGCATTGGTGGGGTGCTTAAGCGTGCCATCTTTCGAGACACACTTCTGTTAGCGGAGCGCATCCTTGCCTCCTCCGCATCGATGCAAAAAATACACACCAAATACAGCCTTGCACGTGTCCTGCAAAAGTGTGTGTTAACCGGCACCGACGCTACGGAGGCTATGCAGAAGCCCTCCATCGGCGGAAGTAGAGGATTAGACGGGGGGCCGCGTATAGTCAAGGTGCAGCCCGACGCAACGGGATTAGAACCCGGGGAGGAGAACACCGACGTCGGGTCGCAGCGGACGTTGTTGGCAATGCAGCGCTCAAAGGAGCGGACGCAGGGCCTGCCCTACCTGTATCGCTGCCCCGCCATCTAGAATGGAGTCGTGGATGTATATTTTTCATGTCGCTGCTTAATTTTCTGTTGTTGACGATGATGAACACGGATACACATATATCGTGCTATTTATGCGTACTCGGACGACGGTGTCTTGGCTCAGAGGAGGCACAGGAACACGCGGCTAATGACCCCAGCAAGTGGGGAGAAGAAGGGCGGAGCAGCAGAAACACTTCCCCCCACCCCACTTTGAAAGGCAAAAGGAAGTAACAACAACAAAAAAGTAGGAGTAGGGGAGCTGAGAGGGTGCCTTCGATTTTTTGCCGATTCTGCTGCTTCCTTTGCATTGGCAGTGTACAGGCCAACATCTACCGTTATGCTCTCTTTCTGTATGTCTGCCTGTGTGTGTGTGCCACGCACGTTGATGTTAACACCGGCTACGGACTCAGCGGGCCGACGTGCGTGGGGATGCTCTACGAGTGGTCTGACTCCCCTGGCATTCATCCACTCCTTCCAGCGGGGGCACATGGACGAAGCAAAAAAAGAAAAAAAAACAGAGAGATCAAGAAGAGAAAAAGAACATTGGAAGCTCATGTAAAATAGGAGAGAAATATATATGGAGGGGGGAGCATCCCCCCTCCCCCCCCCCAATCGGCGCCTGATATGTGTGTACATGTGTTTGTCATTCATCGCGTTTTTTTTGTTTTCCTTTGGGAGAGAAGAGGAGAGACTCCCACGAGTGTCACTGCATAAGAACAAAAACAACAAGAGAGGAGGCGAAGCGAATACGCAGTGAGAGGGAGAAGGGGGTGCAGTTGTTGTTCTTGTTGCTGCTGCTCCTGTGCGGGGGTAGAAACGCACAGGCAGGTACGGCAGAGGCAAGGCAAGTGTATCGAGGAAAGGCGCGTGCGTGGCTGCGTCGACTCTCCCTGCGCCATTTCTGTTCGATGATGTTGATGGTGGGGATTTGGGCGCCACGTGTGTGCGATTGCACGGTGTTGCAGCTGGGTACCTTTTTGCATTACTTTTATTGTTTGCCACGGTACTTATTAATTATTTTTTTTGGTCTCATTGTTCCCTATCTTTTATCTCTCCCTCCGTGGGCTGCTGCGGATGCCGTCCTGGCTGCTTGCGTCTTCGCGTGACCGCAGGGTGAGGCCTTAACAATCGAGCACGCATGGATTTAAACGCGCATGGATTCTTCGGCCAGGCAGCCACCAACAACAATGCCAATGCCAGTGCCAGTGCTATTGGGTCCGTTACCGGCAGCAACCGACCACAGCGTCGCATGCATCCTATTCGCCCAGTGACGATAAAGCAGCTGCTGGAGGCGCAGCGCGTCGGCGAGGGCGTGATGGTTGTCGACGGCCGCGAGGTCACGCAGGCGACCGTCGTTGGTCGTGTGATCGGCTACGAGGACGAGACGGCTAACCGTCTCACTGGCGCCGTCACGGCGAAGCACTACGGTTACCGCATTACCGACGGCACTGGTCTCGTTGTGGTGCGCCAGTGGATGGAGTCTGAGCACCAGGAGGAGCCGCTGCCCGTGCAGTGCTACGTGCGGGTCTCGGGCACCGTGAAGGTGTGGCAGAACGCCCCCATCGTCACCGGCACAGTGCGGCTTGTCTCGGACTGCAACGAGCTGAACTACCACTACCTCGACGCTATCCTCACGCACCTGCGACTGTCGAAGGGCAACAAACACGCGAAGGATGAGGCTGCAGTTCCGGCTGTTAGCAACACGGCGAGCACGCTAGGTGTGCAAAACATGCTGCCGGGCGGTGAGGGCAAAGTCTTTGCCACAGACGTGCTGCTGAATGCAATCAAACAAAACGCGCGAAGTGATGTGGGGTTGACGATGGATGAACTCACCGCCGCGGCACGGCAGTACGGGTTTAGCGTCAATGACGTTCGCGTCGCGCTGCGCACGCTGGCGGCGGAGGGGAGTGTGTACCAGACACATGACAATCGGTTCAATATTTAGCAGGGTTGAGGGTCAGACACGGAGCGGGGCGGTGGAGGCGAAGGAGCAGCAGCGAGAGGACGGCGCTGCAGGCACTGCGGTTCATTCACGCGTCTTGGTTGTTGTCTTTGTTTTTTGTTGTTGTTCTTTTCCGCTGCATTTGTGTCTTTCTTGCCTCTCGAATGCCCTCATACACATATATTTTTTGTTGTTGTCCTGATTTTTCAGGGGGACCGCATCAGGCAAAGAGGAAACAAACGACGACGAGGGTGAAAAGAAACGAAACGAAGAAGAAAAAAGGCAGAGAAGAAGGTGTCGTGTACATTCCGCACTCGTCGCCCCGCCTCCTCCTGCCCCTCCTGCCCCACCATCCACTTGTCCATAGACATGCGCATATGTGCAGGCGTATCACGGGCCATGTCATCCCTCACGTTATCTTTTTTGGTGTGGTTGGTTTAATTATTCCTTGTTTCTCCAAGTGAATTGTTTTTGCCGCATGGATGAAGACACAAGCAAAAAGAGAGGAAAATAAAAAAAAACAGAGAGAAAGAGAGATTTTGTGTGTGAAAGGAGGATACGGTCGTTGTGTGGCGATGACTCGCTTCTGTCTGCGATTCCACCGGGTATCGGGGACGAGAAGAGGCCTCACACGCGCCCCGTGATGCCTGCAGAGAAGACGTATGTGCCGCATTGGGACCACACACACCCGTCACAGCAACTCCTTTCATTTTGTTTGTTTCACTGCTGCTCCCGCCCCCGGCGCCTCCAGTTTTTCTCTGCGGAGCATTTAACGGGAAGGCCTGGCAAGCGATGGGGTGCGACAGCGGACGAGACAGTCATCCACGCAGCGCGCTGATCTCTTTCCTATCTCTCCATATCTCTCTTGTCTGTTCCTTCACAGTGTTTGCTGTTTCTTGCAGTGCCCAAGGATTCACGTATCTTTGGTATTCACATTGCCGTATTTCTTTCACAACTCAACGATGCGACGCGCCACTAGCCAACTGATCCGCAACACCTCCGTTGCTGCAGCGGCCCGCTTTGCCGCGACCAGCAGTGCAAAGAAATACGACTTGTTCGGCTACGAGGTGGACACCAACACGGCCCCGTGGATCGAAAAGATCAAGAAGTGCAAGTACTACGACGAGGCCGGCGAGGTGCTTGTGAACATGAACGTGGGCAACTGCCCGCCCGACATCGCGACGTACAACGCAGCGCTGCAGTGCATCTACGAAGCACCCTCGAAGCAGGCGCAGCCCGTGGAGAACGAGAGCAAGTTCTGTGCGATGCTGGACCTCATGGAGGAGATGAGCCACCGCAACAAGATGAAACCGAACGAGGAGTCCTGGACGTGGGTGATGAAGGAGTGCGTGAAGAGCGGGCAGTTCCGCCTCGGCTATTGCATCCAGAAGGTGATGGAGGCGGAGTTCAAGTCGTGCCCTGCCGACCTC